CACTGCTTTGATTCTCTAATTTGAATAAATTTGTTAATTTATTTAATCTTCTTTGCATGTAAATGAAGTTATGTTGGTCGTATCTAAAAAAAATCGTGATAAAATCGAGATTACAATAATATAATCAAAAAATTGTGATATTTTATTTTTGCCATATTGCCCAGCCCTAGTGGGGGGAGACTTTCTCTACATTCCACATGCATAATTAAAATAATTATAAAAAAAAAACAAAAGATATAAAACTTTTTGATGTATAAAAGATGTTTAAAATAATATGAACTAAATACACTAAATATTCATATTTGCTTTATGCTTATATGGAACATCGCCTGAAGTCATTCAACCACTAAAACATGATCATCTAAGTTCATCGGAAAGCTCCAAGAAAGAGTTTTTATTTGCATCAATGCTTTAAAAGTATTAGTTGTTTTTATTTTAATTTATTCTTGTACCGGTAATTTATTTTCTTTTTTAAGGTGCTCGAGAAAATATTGTCCAAAATAGCCTGAGGAAAGTGACACCACAAGCTTACATTTATTTATACATTAAACCATTTAATTTACCAAAAAGAAAAAAAAAAGCCAGTTTTCCTGTTTCCTCAGAGACAATAATGCAAAGAAATTAGGTTTTACTAAATAGCCACAGCAGCAGAAGCTGTTGGTTTTATTTTGGGTTTTAATGGTTCTTCTTCCCTTTTGTTTCTGAATCTTAATAGATCCTTTGAACCAAACAGTAAATCTGGTTTCTATGTCAGCCCCCTAGGCAGGTTAGTGTTTCCAGTCTCACCCCTGTGGGTCAGCATGTCTGCGCTGAGTGGGCCCCGACCACCTGGGTTTCTGTCCGATCCAATCTTTCAGTGCGTTCGCGTTTTCAGCCGGGTTTACCAAACACCGGTCCAGCTCCTCCAGAACCGAGTCCTCACACTGAACCCGACAAAGAGGCGCCAGGGACATGTTTTCTTTAATTTCAAACGGAGCAAACTTCCCACACGCAGCAGCGAGAGTCTGAAATGATAAGGAGACAAAAACAGATGGAAGCTTAAATAAGAACAGATCACCAGGGTGTAGATTTAGCTTAACCCACTTCAAGATAAGGTAAAAGCTGCATTAAAGGGACTTTGATAAAAGGTGCATCAACAACGTAGATTGTAAAGAAAAAGAAAAAAACAGATTTCCAAACGAATGCCTTTATCTTTTTTCTTCTGACAATAAAATCATTCAAATCCATTTTAGATCAGTTGTGATCAACTGAACTGTTTTGATTTGGTAACAGAATAATGAAGATAAATCATTTATGACCCTCCAAGTTCAGAAGTTTAACCTTTTATAGCGCTAAACTTTCTTCCATTTTCCTCCAAAATCTTCAAAATAAAAATAACTGGTATCTTTAGTGTGTTTCTATGATTTCATCAACACAGCAAAACCTAATACATTAATATTGGAACCGAATTTAAACTCAAAGCACTGAATATGGTACAGCAGAGTAGTCACATGATGTGACATTTACTACAGGATAATATTTAATAATGAACGCTCATTATATATTTAAGCCCACATAGTAATTTTTTTTATAGTGGGCTAATACACTTAGAGCCTGTTTACCGTACATGGCTTATAAAAGACTTTTACATTTTTGCGGCTCCAGACAGATTGTTTTTTTGGTCCAATATGGCTCTTTGAACAGTTTGGGTTGCCAAACCCTGATAAAGAGGAATCAACCAATCAGATTAGCGGCTTTAGGACACCAAAGTCCTGGTAGGTTTCAGACGCCATCACAATGCGCTGATCTGAAGACGGCTGGGAACCCTGACTCTGTCACAGCAGTTCTGGCAGCAAACCGCTGGGATAAACTTATGGAGGGAAACCCCAGACCTCAGACTGTTTGAAGGTCATTCCACCAAATACTGAGGAATATAAATAACTCCTGAAACTGAAGGAAGCATTAAAATACAAATAAATGTATAAAAACAAAACAGGCTATAGATAAAGGAGACCTACTGACCTTCGGCGCCTGCTGGATTTTTGGTTTCTGTAGAAAGCGGGTTATTTCTGCCTTCTCAGCTTTCAGCCGCTGTAACCAGAAACAGTCCAAAAGTTAAACTTTCTGCTTTTTTAAAATCATATCTACATCACCTAAATACAAGCTTCGACAAAACACCTACATCCTTCTCTTCTTTCATCCTTTTCTCTTCTTCCTTCACCCGCTTCTCTTCCTCTTTCTTGCGTTTCTCCTCAAGCTTTGCCCTGAAGTGGAGGAATAATGTCACATCCAGTTTCTGATCAACACCATCAAGGATAAAAAGGACCGATAAGTTTCTGGACTTACTCCATCTTTGATTTCCGCAGCTCCTCTTTTGCTTTTAACCTCTCTGCCTTTTCCTTCTCTTCTTTTTCCCTTTTCTCTCGTTTTTCTCTCTCCTCTTTTTCCTTCTTCTCCCTTTTTTCCTTTTCTTTCTCCTCTCGGAGCTTTCGAGCCTCTTCTTTCTTCTTTTCCTTTGCAGCTTTGGCTTCTTCTTTCTGCCGTTCCTTCTCCTGTCGCAGCCTCAGCCTTTCTTCTTGCTCTTGTAAACTCTGTAATCAGACATGACACTTCAAATAATAGAAGAAAAACATTTCTTTTTTTTTACTTGTTTGGACAATTTTTACAATGGGAGATTGTATCTGCCACCAATTATCAAATACTGAATGTTCAGAGCAACTAGGACATACAATAAAAAATAAAAATAAAAAAATGGAGTTTATATAGCTGAGCTTTTAAAATTCAATACATATCCCAATTTTAAACAAATAAAATAATATTTGTAATGTTTCTAAGCTTTTCCAGGTTCTACTAACTGAGTTCAAACCTGCCTGAAAATCCAGTCTTTTGGAAGTAAGGCCATAACAAGCGTTGAATTTCCAAAGATTGTCAAAAATTGAATTGTCAAGTTCAAATTACCTTGAATAAACGCAGTTACCTTACTTGCAATCTAACGCAGCACATTGTTTGAACTTGACAAATCAAACTGGTACTTTCTTGGTTGCAGAGATTTTTCAGTGCAGGGGCGGAATAAAAACTAAGATAAAGGAATATGATTTGCTGAGGGGGCGTAGAGTGGGCGGATGTTCAGCATATAATGGTTGATCACAGAGAGGAAGGAAGCGAGGCAATGGCCTCTCTTCAGACTATTTTGCTTATCGATTAATTGTTTAATAATCAAGATAGCCAAAGGTTCTAAAAGAAGACTTTTTATTAAATTAAAGCAGGTGAAAATATAGAATATTGAAAGATAAAAAAGTTTTTCCATCTTAAATGCAAACTGTTAACATATTTTTCACAATTTTGGTATAATTCTTGATAAAGGTAGGTTGCTCTGTCACCTAAACGCTCTATACTCCAATTAAACATTAATATTAGTTGCCGATTACTTCAGTAACCCTAATTAATCATGATTAATTGTTTCAGCTCTACTGCAGAGACAGTTATACCTAAATTTCTAAACTGCAAAGATTTTCTAAAATCAAAATATAAAACGTTCCTGTGATTTGCTTTTTACATTACATCGTCTCACCATCACTGCAAAGCATTTTTAGTGTTTCTCTTATATTTTTTAGCCAAATAAACTTCTTCATGTGCAAAAGGGTCTAATTTGCTTTAATGTTCCTTTAATATAAAAATGTTAAAAATTAATAATCACATTTACATAAATATTTTGTAATTGAGGGTCTTGGGCCACACACAAAGCAGAATGGTGAATTCCAGTATATCTTCAGATTTCTAGTCATTTTCTTTATTTAATTACATAATTTGTTATTCAATATTCTATATTCAATAATTAAATTCCCAGTTCAACTGAAAGTCAGGGGTTGACGTTAAGGATTTTTACCACTTGCCCTTTGGGCAAGTGACTTTCACATTTCATTTGCCCTGAAACAATTTTTACTTGCCCAGTATAATGTGTGATAAATATAGTTCCTAATATTCATTTTTGTATATATATCAATGAAACATGTTTGTTTTTTAAATGTTTTTTGTAATTCAGTATTTTTTAGTTTTCCAGGTTCCTGGTGTGTATATGCATGCGTCAGATAATGAACTCAAGCCTACATTACCGTGTTAACATGCTTTTCAATCCTTCCTGCACATTCTTTTCAAACTTAACTTTGCTTTAAACTGTTGTGTGCTTGGAAAAATATTAATTGTAATGTTAAAAATCTACAAAAAAAAAAAAGACAAAAAAAATCATGACAGGTTAAAAACTTAAAACAACACTTTTTGGTCGTTTTCTTTGAATGTAGGTGATTTCTGAGTGATTATGCGAACGAAATGATACAGAAACGCAGGTACAATAGCGCTTTCTAGCTTGTTTGTCGTTTTGCTAACTACATCAAAATTACCGCTAGGTGGACAAAAACCACGGCACCTGGCGGAAAATCAACCAGCTTTTCAAATCACGCGAGAATGTGAACAAAACAACAAAAATGGCGCCGGCAACGCTTCTGGATCGTTTTCATCGAATGCCGGTGATTTTAAAGTAATTTTGAGTGATAAATAATTTTTTTTGCGAAATTTGTACTCCCAACAATAAAAACTACTTCTGCCGGGAGAATCGGGCGATGGTTAACATTAGGGATGCACAATAAAATCGGCCCCCTATCGGTATCGGCCTTAAAACTGAATATCGGACATCGGCCACCCTACCGATATTTAACCCGATATTTGATCAGCTTCTGAGTTTCTAAAGTCTAAAAAAATACTTCTTCCTCAAAAACTTCTTTTTTACAGACTTAAAAACTTCTAAAGACAAGGGAAAAAATATTGATACATGAAAATATCACAATGTCTTCATATGCTGATATATTGCCATTTAAAAACACCATATCAATCTCTTTTACTAATGAAATATTGCTATATGTCATCGTTATGCTACGAAATCCCCCGAAAATTCACGAAACTTTGCCATATTTTTATATGTTGATATATTGACGCGCTATCAATCCATTATACTAACAAAATCTCACAAGAATTTGCAAAATATCACGAGAGTTTGTAACAGAACGATAAAACTTCACAAGATTTTGAAAGTAAAATAGATCGATACCGTGTTTTTAAAAATCAATTTGATATCAGCATATGAAAATATATTTGAGTATATTATTTTTCAAAGTGTTAAAAATGGATAACAAAACTGCTATTTTCAATGACTACTTATTTTTGTCCAGCTTTAACATCGGTATCGATATCGGTTATCGGCTACATGAGTTTTAAAATATCGGCATATCGGATATCGGCCAAAATCCCAATATCGTGCATCCCTAGTTCACATCGAGCCCTGAAAGGTCAGATAAATAAAAAAAATCCTAGAAATTCATTGAGATTGTCGATTTAAAAAAGTAACTGCTTAGTTACAATAACTGGGTTACAAAATCAGTTACTCAGCAACTGAGTTACTCTTTGGGAAAAGTAATTAGTAACTGTTTTAAGTAACACCGTTCCTTAGAGAACTCCCCCAAGTTCTTAATATTATCCTCTTTTCTAGTAGCTGAAAGACACCGATCCACAAATTAGACTCTTTACTGACTCACATTCACTTCTATTCGATGACGAATTACGGCTTTCAGAAAAGGAATTCACTTTTGAGTTTAAAGTGGCAAATTTATGAGTAGAAACACCCACATTTACGAGAGTATAAACATGCAAATATAAAAGAAAATGCAGCAAATCACTAAGAAAGCAAAACACACATTTAGGAGAAAAATATGCAAAATCTACAACTCTACAAATACACAATAAAGTCTTCTTGCTGCCTGAACCCAAACTTCACGAAAAAGCAGGAAGTTTTCCAGCTCCTTGAGAAATCAAACAAGAAAAATTAAATACCAGTATGAACAATATTGGAACCAGCTACTTGGATGAAATGTTTTGTAGAATATTATGACTACAATTACTTTAATACCGGTAATAAATAAATATATATCACCATTTCTACTGTTTTTTTATTTCAATTAATTTTGTGTTTCAGAGGCTGTATACTGCATTTAACAATTGATTGATTACTAAATCATTTGGCAGCCACCTTACAAAAGAATTGCTTCATAGAATGCAATATTTAGATTTTCAGTAATAGCATTGTAATTGCATATTGCTGCAATCATTCAGTCTAGGGTTGAAGTAAGCATATGAATCCTATTAGGCTAAATACATTAACATTAAGTTTTTCTTTACTGTAAATCTGGGAATCCAAATGTTTTTCAAAATGTATTAATATTAGTGTTATGCAGATGCCATTTTTTTTTTGGCCCCGATACCTGGCTGTACAGTATTGGCCGATACCAATACCACCTGTTTGAATTTGATGTGCGTCTATAAATAAAGAACTGCAGACTACTTGGATGTAAAATAATCACCATCATGGCTTTGCTAAGCTGCTGCCTACCTTTATGAAGCAGAAAAAAAGACTAAAACAAAGTGAATCCAGTAGAACTTTTTATTGCCTACCTGGAATGGGTGACAATAGTTGAATAAACGTTTGGCTCTTAAAGTGGTATCGGCGCCCTATTGTTGGTACTGACCCATACCGATACCACCATTTAAGTGCTGTATCGAGCCCCGCCTAATGCTGGTATCGGCGCAACACTAATTAATACATAAACATATTGATTACTATTGATTATCGAAGCAATTTTTCCAGATCACGGGACTACGAAAAGCCCCAGAAAAATTTGTGTTTGTAAGCACTCCCAGTGTGAGCTAAACATAAAATGTCTAACCTTTAGTGAGCGTCTCTTGATCTTTCTCTGATCTGCTGGTATCTGAGGGGTGTTCGGGGTCTTTGGCTCCTGTAACAGAAATAATATTTCAAGGGACATATACATCAAAACGTAGAAGTACTCAATCAGTCGAGTCATAATTCAGACAAGCAAAAAAAGCAGCACACACACTGGTACATACTTTAGACGCAGAGACATCAGTCTTGGTGTTTTCTGGTGAGCTGTCAGACATGGAGCTGGCCGATGACGGCGACTGTGTCGACTTATTTCCCAAACTGGAAACATTTCCCGACTTGCTCTGCTCCTCTGGCTCGCTGTCTGAATCCTGAGAAGTATCCAGCTGAGAGATGGAGGTGGGCTGATCCTCTTGTTCTTCTTCCGCTTCATCGCTGGTAATCACAACACAGTCTGCAGTTTGTGCTTTAGGACAGTCAATAACGTTTTTGCATGGGCCGGAGCCGCTTTTTCTGTCTTTGTGCTGATCCTTTTTTTTCGCTGTGGGACGAGAAGAGGCTGGAGCAGGAGAACTGGCGCTCTTTACAGGGGAGGAGTTGTCGTCCTCGGTCAGATCGATGACCACTTTATTGTCCGAGGACGCAGAGGAAGCAGAACACCTGCGCTTCAGGAAGCCGTCAAGCGGGCCGCGGCCATTCACTAAAGGCGGGCCGCTGCGTTCGGAGAGAGGAGAAGACTCGTTCTCGTCCTGTGTGTCTGGGGCTTTGGATCCGGGGCAGGCATGAGTACACGGACGTTTGGGAGGCTGGTTCTCTTTCGGTTCAGTGTTCAGGCGCTTGAATGGGAGACGAGCTGGAAAACAGGAAAACAGAAAGTCACATAAAAGTGCAATGATCTCCACCTGTTTAATTATCCCCTCAGCTTAATCTGTTCATCTTTCTGAATAATATTTTACTTAAAAACTAAATTAAAAAATAACATTTAAAAAAAGTGGTTCGCTGTAAATCTAACTGTCTTAAACAGAGGAAAACACCTGCCATCTTATATTCGTGATGAGCAGAAAGCAGATTAGCTTAGAAGAAAAACAAAAATTGGTTTGAAAAGTATTTTATTAACTTAAGTAATGAAATGTCATTCTGACACTGCATGTTATGTTTATCTAGATATTTGTTTGTATCAAACAAAAAAGTTATTTTGATGATGTGAAACATTCTATTCAGACAGGAAAAGCAGAAAACAGAAAACATGTACAAGATTGGAAAACTCATTAATATACCATCTATATGTTTAACAGTGATAGATTGGTGACAGTTTCCACATACTTCACACTGGTGGACTAAAGAGCAGAACCTTTAACTGAAAATCATAATAATGATAATAAAAATAAAGATAACTATTTGCTACATTATTAAAGAGGATTTTTTATATTGTGATATAACATTAATCTCTAAAATTTGTTCAGATGTTAACAGATTAAGATACAGAAAGTTTTTCTAGTGGTTCTAATAAAAATGTTTTAACATTTACATTTCTTTCTTGGATGATACAATCAATCTGCAGTAAAAAAAAAAAAAGTATAAATGAGTGTCACAAAAAGAGTGAGCTTGGCTGATTTTCTGTTCAATTAATGACTAATGTAGCTGATTAACCATAAAACTGCCGCTCTAGACAATAATCAAGGTTTGATCAATTGGGAAGGCAGTAAATCCAAGCTGCGTTTTTAACTTAATGTAACTATTTAGCTTTTTTTTTTTTAAACATTTAGAATTTTCTTGATCATTCAGTTTGTCTTTAAACAGCAGAACAACTAAAGCCAGGTTTTACCTTGAATAAGTTTCTTGTTGGCATTGTTACTCGATTTGCAATCCATGCCTGAAAAAGAAAGAAAATTAACAGATTAGAAATGAATTGACCAAATCTGCAAATATGTTTTGTTTGAAACAGATGTGTAAAAAAGAGCAGTAATGAAGCTTTGGGAATATTAATGACAATAATGTAGGTGAATGGATCACAGTGATATATTCTGTTAACTGAATGGCTAATGCACAGCCAGCAGATTAGAAATGTAAAGATTGATACCTGATACTGTATGATGATGCATTTATAAGTCATAACAATGTGCAGCATGTGTGTGCTAACAGCACAACAACAGGTTGGATGTTCACAATCCCGCCAACCTGTTTATCATTCTGGTCTAGAGGCCCAACCGGATCCAGTCTGCAGAGGCTGCAGCACCTCTATGTCATCAGGTAATGGGTGATTATCCTTCAGAAAACCCGCACAACACGCCAGTAACATGTTATCCAACAGCAACCAGACATGGATATAAAGCTAAATCCAGAGAGGAGGCCTGACAGCTCAGTTATGAGAACAGCTTCCATCCGAACCACTAGCCTCACAGCCATGCTACATGGCTAGCTTCGCCTGCTAATTTAATGACATTAGACAACTAATTTGCTACACAACTACAAACTTTATCATGATTAACTAATAATATAGAAAACAAACTGAAAACAAGACAACTGAACAAAGTAACTTCGTTTCAATGTTTCTGTCCTTACAAATACGTTTTAAAGTCAGTTTATAACTCAAATACTTTGAAGTCAGTAAGAGATTTCTGAGCCAAACAACCAGTTTATGAGAACTAAGAAAGGCGTAAGGATGTCGGTTACTGGAAATCTTGAAAAAAATCCCAACAATGCGATACACACTAATAAAAACAGCTTTAGTTACATTGTTCGACTGATACATCGTAGTTATAAGTATTTGCTTCACTGTTGGCCCATTTGTTAACATTTGTATTACAAGCTTTAACAATGTTGAGCTTTTTTAGACAAGTAATTACCTCTTCTGTGGGGGGTCGATGCTGCCAAATGTCCGTCCACAGATGCGTTTTCCGCGGCCAACATCCCAACTACTAAACCGGGGCCTCTTTCGGTCGCAATGTTGTGCGGCTAAACAAATTTAACACATAAGCAAAAATAAAGTAAACACTGGAAATGACCACCCCAACGAGCGAACTGATATATTTGTTTCTATTTACACGTCATGTAACTCTACTTTAATTCACATAATCATAACTAGGAGTCTTTCCGCATATCCTGCACTCCCTCTGTTCACCCCGCTGACTGCCTCGCGCTCCCAAGTCGGAATTGGCGGGAGTCGGTTCCTTCTTTCAATAGCCTTTGCTGATTGGTCGATATCGTTTCGTGGCTCTTCCAGGGTAGGTTGGATTTGTTCACCTGCCTGACACGTTTGCTAGAGCGAGCGCTCGAAAGTTGACAAATGTTTAACTGTACGTGAAGCACTGGTTAATGCTATTGAGGATTTCAGTCTTTTTTTATGAAGATAATACATTATAATCCCCTAGACTTCATTGGGTGAACCGGGAGGTTTAAATTACATATATGACATCCACATCTTACTGAGCAACAGTAACTAGAACCCAAACATGTCACATGTCTTACAAAGGAAGCGCATTCTTCTGACGGATGTGTCGTGCTTTGTGATTGGGCGCGGAGCTGGGCTGTATGACGTCACTGGTTCCGCGAGTCCGCCATACTGTGAGAGGCAAGGTTCGCGCTGAAAGCCAAAAGCTTAAATTGTATGGGAAAAAAATACCTTAAACTAACTTTTACTAAATTGAGTAATTTGCTTGTACTGTATCTTTTATTGTGCATTGTTCAAATAATCTTTGAAAAATTAGATAAAAATAAGAATTCCTAACCTAATCACCTAAATGGATCTATATTAAGAAATATAATAGGGCTGAAACAATTAATCGGATTATTCATGATTAATCAATAATTGAATAATCAAACTACTTTTGTAATCGATTGATCGTTAACTTGAATATTGAGAAGGCAAAACATGCCTTTAGTTGAATATCTAGCATAAATTATATAAACAAATTATACATTTTTGTAAAACACACTAATCTACGGAAGAGGATTAGGGAAAAAAAGTCAGAATTATGACTTTACTATCAAAATTCTGATTTTAATCTCAGAATTCTAATTTTAATCTCAGAATTCTGACTTTTTTCTCAGAATTCGAACTGAATTCTGACAGCTAACAAATATGTTAGAATCAAGCCGTAGTGATGTCTGTATTAGAGACTAAACTAGCTCTCTTGTTTTAATCACCCTTTGCTCTTCCATTATTGAAATAGCATCACCTGGGACCCCTCGTGAATGTAAAAAGTCGACTAATTCCATAATTTTCCACCAATGTGTTACTGGCCCACCCAAACAACTCACATCTTTTTTCAGTGAAGCTGAGTGCTCCCACATCTCTTCATTCATAGTGCTCCTCTACATTAAGATCCAAAATTTTGAGATTAAAGTCAGAATTCTGAGAAAAAAGTCATAATTCTGAGATTAAAGTCAGGAATCTGAGAAAAAAGTCAGAATTCTAAGAAAAAAGTCAGAATTCTGAGATTAAAGTCAGAGTTCTGAGAAAAAAGTCAGAATTTTGAGATTAAAGTCAGAATTGGGAGAAAAAAGTTAGAATTCTGAGATTAAAATCAGAATTCCAAGATTAAGGTAAAAATTCTGAGATTAAAGACAGGAATGGGAGAAAAAAAGTCAGAATTCTAAGATTTAAGTTAGGATATGAGATCAAAGACAAAATTCTGAGATTAAAGACAGGATTGGGAGACAAAGTCAGAATACTGAGATTAAAGTCAGGATTCTGAGATTAAAGACAAAATTCTGAGATTAAAGACAGAATTGGGAGAAAAAAGTCAGAATTCTGAGATTAAAGACAGAATTGGGAGAAAAAAG